CTGTAGTTTCCACACTCAGTTGGGTCACCCTTCTTTGGGATGGGAACAAATATAGATAGACCTCTTCCAGTCAGTTGGCCAAGTGGTTGTTCTCCAGATTTCTTGGCACAACTTGGTGAGCACACCCAGGGCAGGACTTTTTAAAAATTGATCCATTAAAAAAAACCTTTAAAAATACACAAAATTAAAAAACAAACAAACAAAAATAATCAATTCCCCCTTTTAATTTCATTCATATAAATTGTATTTTATACATTCATTCATGTACATTGTGCTTTCTAATGTTAATTACTATTTTCCACTACTCTTCCCTTAACAGTCAGCTTTTGAAATTCATGCATGTTGTTGTGTATGCCAGTAGCTTGCTCTACGTATTGCTCAGCATCATTCCACTGGATGGATAGACCACTGCTCATTTATGCAGTCACATCATGACAGCAAGTTGGGATGTTTCCAGATTTTTGCTATTATTTAAAAGCTGCTATGAATATTTGCATAAATTCTTAATAGTATTTGAAGCTTGAAGAAATGTCTGTTTAGATCTTTCTCTTTTTTGTGCAATATTTCAAACATACAGACTAGATTCAACCCTCCATCCAATTTGAACAAATTTCAATTTTTTCCATATTGCCTTCAAAAAAAATTTTTTTTTAGATTATCTCATTGCTAACAAGAGAGGCTATGTATTACCTGGGAGGAGACTGCTCATCTTTCTCTCATGGAGAAGCTGATGGATACTTTTTTAAAAAAAATCTATTTTATTTGATGGGAAGTTTACAAATCACACTGGCTTTTTTGACAGTCATTCATAGGCATTAATGACCCTGATTAATGCAATTCACTCATTACAATGTCTACGCAAACCCTTTTCTTATATTATTTTTATTCCCTTCACCCATTTACTCTATTTATGATTTCTTTTTTCCTCCTCCCTTCTACCCCCAATCCTGAAGGCATGCAGTTCAAGGCCAGCAGCTGCTCCTTGGGAGAAGGCTGAGCAATCTCCTCCTATGCCATTAATTGCCGCTGAAAGCTTCCTGGAGGGATAGCTATGGGTCAGTTCCGACTCTATGGTACACAACAACAACAACAACAACAACAACCTCCATTTTTAATCTATAATGCTGTTCCAGATTGTTATCTGCAGTACAGATAATGTGGGATCATCTATTCATTTAAGATTGACCTTCCCTTCACATATTCCAGTGCAGGGCCCCTGGTGAATCCAAACTACCAGAAAAGGGGCTGCCTTCAGGTTAGGGGTACAGCTCCCTACATATTATGCCACCAGAGATCCATTTTTCAATAGATACATTTCTCTAAGATTAAAAAAATAAAGGGAGCCCTGGTGGCCTAGTGTCAAGAAGCTGCACTGCAATCCCAGAGGCACAGGGTTCAAATCCACTACTGAAGAAGGAGGGGAAATCTCCTCCTGTACCAGTCAGATCTGATTAGATGGCAAACACACACAAAATAATAATAACATTTTTAAAAAAAGATTTAAAAAATGAAAAACCTGGTACGCATCTTCTCCATCTCATTTCTCCATTTCCCTCATCAAAAAATCACCACTTTGTATTCTTTTTATATATGTCTTAACATTTTTTCTGCATAAAGACAGATAAATAATATAATGCACTGCTGTTTAATTTTTCTGTAAATAGTATATTTGTCTCATGGATTGAATTGTGTCCCCAAAAAAAACAGGTGGTATAAATCTTAACCCCAACAGACCTCTAGTTAAGGAGTCCTGATGGTGCAGTGCTTAAGCAGTCAGCTGCTAACCAAAAGGTCAGCAGTTTGAACCAACCAGCTGCTCCAAGGGAGAAAGATGAGGCAGGTCAGCTTCGGTAAAGATTTATGGTCTTGAGAAGCCCTCTTGCTGTAGTTGTTAGTGGGGTGAAGACAGATGACTGTGGAAGCCGTATGGCAAAGTTCTACAATGGATCAGAATCAACAGCAATGCCATTGAGTCAAACATGATCCATAGTGGCCCTATGATCAACAGATTTGAGCCCTATTCTATCCTGTGCTGTCTTCACACTTCCTGACCCAAAGCGGTGTCACTGTGTTGATCCACCTGGTTGAGGGTCTTCCTCTCCTTTGCTAACCTTTTGCCTTTCTGAACATCATGTCCCTCTCCAAGGAATAGCCTCTCCTAGCAACACGCCCAAAGTACATGAGGCAAAGTTTTATTTATTGGTATTGCCTCCAAGGAGCAGTCTGGCTGCACTTTCTCCAAGACATATTTGTTTGTTCTTTTGGCAGACCATAGGATGTTCAATATTTTTTTCCAACACATTAGCTCAAAGGCATCAATTCTGGGTGTATACTTGGTAGTTATAATCCCATCTGTAAATAAGTGTCCTTATTTTAAGAGGGACAACATGCTTAGAAGGGTGGAGGGACAGCACAGGAGAAGAAGACCCTCGATGAGATGGATTGATTCAGTCACGGGGAAATGGGGATAGGCGTTGTCAGAGACAATGAGATTGGCAAGGGATAGAGCAGGGTTTAGGGTTATTGTACACAGGGTCACTATGAGTAACAAGGGACTTGACAGCACATAACAACAACAGGCCTTGTGCTCACCATGCCCTGACTCCATTGCCCCAACAACAACAACATTTTGAAGAAGCAGTAATGGTGAAGAGTGTGTCTTAAAGCAATCTTTACTGAGATATAAAAGAGCAGATTGAGCAAGTAAGTGAAAATGAAGGGGCTTATACCAACCATTGGGTCACCAGGAATGGCTGAAGAGAGAAAAAGACTGAAAAGAGACAAAAAACCTTCCCCTACATTGGATAATGTGAGTGAGTCTTCCTATGGAGCTGGTACCCTGAATCTGGATTTCTACTGTGTGGATCATAACAAATTATGGATAACACTGAGATAATAGGAATCACAAAACACTTAATTGTACTCATGCGAAAATTGTACCTAGACCAAGAAGCAGCTGTCTGAACAGAACAAGGGAACATGACATCATTTTAAAATCAGAAAAGATATAAGGGAGCTCTGGTGGCCTAGCGGCAAGATGCTGAGCAGTAATCCCAAAGGCACATGGTTTGAATCTACCAGGTGCTCTGCTGGAGAAGGTGGGGCAATCTCCTTCTGTGCTAGTTGGATCCAATTTGATGTGAAACAACAAGAAAAAAAATAAAATCAGGAAAGGTGTGCGCCAGGGTTGTATTCTTTTTTCATACCTATTCTATTTGTATGCTGAGGAAACCATTAGAGAAACTGAACTTTATGAAGAGGAATGTGGCATCAAGATCAAAGGAAGACTCATCAACAACCTGCATTATATAAATGACACAACTTTGCTTGCAAAAAGTGAAGAAGACTGCAGAATATCAAAGATTATACACCTTTCAGCATTAATTACATCTCATAATAAGAAAACAAAAATCCTCACCCCCTTCAATATTAATTATATCTCATAAGAAAACAAAAATCCTCACCACTGGACCAATAGGTAATATCATGACAGATGGAGAAAAGACTGAAGTTGTCAATGATTTCGTTTTACTTGGATCCATAATCAACACCCACAGAAGCAGTAGTCAAGAAATCAAAAGACGTGTTGCACTGGAGGAATCTGCTGTCAAGGATCTCTACAGAGGGCCAAAGAGCAAAGATGTCAGTTTAAATACTAAGGTGCACCTCATCCAAGCCATGGTATTTTCAATTGGTTCCTATGCTACTGAAAGTTGGACATTAATTAAGGAAGACTGAAGAAGAATTGATGCCTTTGAACTGTGGTGTTGAAGAAGAGTACTCCATGGATACCTATGAATATCACATGGGCAGTCATGAATAGCAGTCCATGAATACCCCATGGACTGTCAAAAGAACAAACAGGGGAAAGCAGTCCCCGCGCCGCCAGGCCCTGGGCTCCTTCGCCGCCGCCGCGCTCACGCTCGGGCTCCGAGGCCGAGGAGGCCGAGCTGTCGCTGAGCCTGGCCCGCACCAAAACCGGCTCGTACGGCAGCACCGCGAGCGTGCGGGCGCCACTGGGCGCCGGCGTCATCGAGCGCCATGTGGAGCATCGGGTCTGCGCCGGCGACACGCTGCAGGGCATCGCGCTCAAGTATGGAGTCACGCTGCTACCTTTTTGGTGATCTATTAGTAAATACAATCCATCTCCTCAGAGAACTTATATTTTAGTCAGTGGAGACAAGGTGGGCCTGGGGATCTGGAAGGTTCTTCTATAAGAAACAAATGTGGAAATTGAAGAAACTGACCACATCTGACTGCTGATGGACCCCAGTTCTGCCAGAGATTGAAAAAAACACCAAGCAACAAAAACAAGGAAACATTATGATCCTTTCTTACTTTACTATGAGATGACATATTAAGCCATTAGCAAATGGCATTCATTATTGTACCTTTTTTAACCCTTTTCTTGAGCCTGATTTTGGCCCTGTGCTAGATTCTAGGGCAACCAGGTAACACTCCTATGTTGTCCTTCTTTAATTTGTGGTGAATTCATCAGCTATTTTTTTTTTCTATGATTATATTTTGTTGGTTTTCATAAACATTTGCAGAGATTTTGGGTTTCCATTCAAAAAAAAAAAAAAAGAACAAACAAATCTGTCTTGGCATAAGTGCAACCAGGGTGTTCTTTAGCGGTGAGGGTGGTGAAATGCATAGCAACTCTGAATATATGTATCTGTGTTTCACTAGTTTTGCTTCTCTATAAAACCCAAGCTAAGATAGTAGGTCCTGATAACTACAAACATACTCTTCTGGTATGAACTGAAAATTGTGTTCCTAGGTATTATATGACTAACTTGAAAATTTACGCTCACACAAATGCCTTTATGTGAGTTTATGGTGCCTTTATTCATAATCACTAAAAAACTAGAAACCACTAAGATCTCCTTCAATATGGGAATGGAAAACCAATTAAGGAACATCCTGGACAATGACTAGGGATGAGAGAAGGAGAATGGATGCCTTTGGTGCTAGAGAAGAGTGTTGAATATACCCTGGACTGCTATGAGAACAAACAGGTTTGTCCTAGAGAGGGTGAAACTAGACTGCTCCTTGGAGGAAGGATTCTGAAGCTTTGTCTGACATACTTTGGGCATGTTGGAAGGAGTCCTTGGGGAGGGACATCATGCTTGGAAGGATGGAGGGACAGCACAAGAGAGGAAAACCCTCAATGAGATACTCAGTGACTGGGGTAATAAAGGTAGATGTGTCAGAGACAATAAGATTAGCTCAGAACATAGCAGGTTTCGGAATTATTGTATATAGGGTCGCTAAGAGCCACAAGCGCATAACAAGTACAAAAAAAATGAATATATTATCAATTAATGAAAGAAAAGAAAAGAATTTTTAATGCATATTTCTAACTAAAAGAACCTAATCAGGTGAGCTCTGGTGGCCTAGTGGCAAGAAGCTGCACTACAATCCCAGAGGTACATGGTTCAAATCCACCAGATGCTCTGCTGGAGAAGGAGGAACAATCTCCTCCTGTACCAGTCAGATCTGATTTGATGGTACACACACAAAATAATAAATTTTTTAAAAAAGAAAAAAAGAAGCTAATCAGGAAAGAGTGCATTGTGTATGCATTCTGGAAAAACAAAATTGGGGATGATAAAATGATCTATGGTTTCCAGTTCAAGAGGAAGGGAGAAAGGCTGAGGGGCTTCAGAAATTGAAAATACCATGATTTGCATCAGGCACACCTTAGCCTTTAAATGAACACTGTTGTGTTGTAGCACTTTGGAGAGATTCTTAACAGCACATTTTCCCAATGCAACACATGTCTTTTGATTTCTTGACTGCTGCTCCTATAAATATTGACCGTGGATCCAAGAATAGTTGAAAACTTCAGTCTTTCTCCATCTAGCATGATGTTGCCTATTGGTCCAATGGTGAGGACTTTTGTTTTCTTGATAGTGAAGGCTGCAGTCTTTGAGGTTCTACAGCAAACATTTCAAGTCTTCACTTTCTGCAGACAAGGTTGTGTCATCTGCATAATGACCATTGTTGAGTCTTCCTGCAACCCGGATGCCACATTCTTCCTCATATCGTCCAACTTCTTGACTCATTTGCTCAGCATACAGATTGAACAGGTATGAAGAAAGGATACAAAAAAAAAGAAAAAGAAAAAATACAACTCTAGTGCCTAACTTTCCTGATCAATCATGCAGGGTTCTCTTGTTCAAACAACTGCTTCTTGGTCTATGTTTTACATGCACATAATTAAGTATTCTGGGATTCTCAGGCTTTTCAATGTTAATGTTATTCCTCTCAATGTTAATAGGATAGACACAACAGCAGTGAGTGATTAAAGTACTTTATCTTCTCTAGCTGCCCTCTGCAATCTGTTCAGCTTCTTTCCATCATCACTTTTCCATTCACTTCAGCTCTTCTCCATTCAATGGAGTTGTGGTGGCACAGTAAGGAGCATCGAGTTGTGCTGCCCGCCCTTGTTCATGTTAACTTGTTATGAGACGGAAACTACCTGATGGCAGCAAGTCTGAGGTGGGTTTTTTGGGGGTAGGTGTCTTATTATTTTTTTTAATTTTAGGTTCAAAAGTAAATTAAAAAGTCTTTGTTATTATTTTCTAATTGATATTTTAACAAAAGTTTACAGAAAACTTGAATTTCCATTTATTATTGCACATTTTCCTCCCTACCCACCCCCCAGTTCAACTTTCTCTTTAAGAAGATTCTTTCATTGTTTCAAAAATCTTCTCTGACATCCATTTCCACCCTCACGTCCACCACAGAAAAGTGCTGAAGAGTTTGAAATCTTGGTATAGCCAAAGTCTTTGTCCTCTATTTTAAGGAAAATAATAATACCTCCCTCAGGGAGGATTAAATGTAACATACTAATCATTAGTACCTACGTTCTAGCCATAAAGCCTTAACTGTTGTTCCACACTTCCTTACATTTGCACATGCTGTTATCTATTTACAATGTCTTCCGCCCTGGCTGCAGCTAGTTAGCTCTTTGCTGCTTTTCTAGACTGAAGTCCTTGTGAAGTCAACTCCAAGCCACTCTCCCCCAAGTATGGATTCTGAGACCCTCCTTTGCTCTTCCAAACCACCCTGTGCTTATCTCCACCAAATGAGAAGCCACTGTAACGTTTTAGATAGAGGAGTGAACCTATCAGGCTCAGTAATTTTTCTATATGCCAGGGACCATTTTAGATTCGGTACCAAGAATGAAAAACTTGTTTGTCATGAGATTACTGCAAGGGACAGATGGGAAAAAAAATAGTTACTGAGAAGACTATAAGATAAAGCATGCCAAATATTTAAGGAAACGGCCTGGCATGTAATAAACACTCAATATATGGTAACTGTATAATTAACTATATAATTCCAGGCTATGCCAGGAATTCCCAAGAAAGGTGATCCAACAGTGTGGAAACTATCAAACAATATCATTTATATTACATGCTGCTGAAGATCATTTAAAAAAAACAGCTAGGAAAAAAAAAAACAAAAACAAAACAACCAGCTAGAATAGTACATAGATAGGGAACTGTCAAACGTTCAAACAGGATTTAGAAGAGGCCATGGAACTAAGGATATTATTACTGATGTCAGATGGCTCCTGGTTGGAATTAAAGAATATCAGAAGAATGACTATTTATACTTTATGCAAAAGCATTAGACTGTGTGAATCATAACAAGTTATGGCTCACATTGAGAAGGACAGGAATCCCAGAGCACTTAATTGAGCTCATGTGAAACCTATATTTAGACCAGCAGACTGTTGTGCAAATAGAGCAAGGGAACACTATATGGTTTAAAACTAAGAATGGAGTGTGTCAGGGTTGTATTCTCTCTTCATACCTATTCAACTTGTATGCTGAGCAAATTATTCGAGAAGCTGGACTCTATGAAGAGGAATGTGGCATCAGGATCAGAAGGAGATTCATCAATAACCTGCATTATGCAGTTGACACAACCTTGCTTGCTGAGAGTAAGGAGGACTTGAAGCACTTGTTCCAGAAGATCAAAGAATACAGCCTTCAATATGGACTACATCACAATGTCAAGAAAAAAAAATTCTTAAGATAGGCAGCATTGTGATAGATGGAGAAAAGACTGAAACTGTCAACAACTTCATCTAATTTGGATCTACAATTAACCCTTGGTACAGCAGTCAGGACATCAGGAGACATACTGCACTAGGAAAGTCTGTAGTTAGGGACCTCTTTAAAAAACTGAGGAGTAATGATGTCAGTTTGAGGACTAAGGTGCATCTGATTCAGGCTATAGTTTTTCTGATCACTTGCTATGCATCTGAGAGCTGGACAATGAATGACAGAAGAACTGATGTCTTTGAGCTGTGGTGTTGGAGAAGAGGGCTAAATATCTCATGGACTGCCAAAAGAATAAACAAATATGTCTTGGAGAGGGTGCAGCCAGAGTACTCTTTGGAGGCAAAAAAGACGAGGCTTCACCTCACATACTTCGGACAGGTTGCTAGGAGAGGATATTCCTTGGAAAGGGACATGATGCTCAGAAAGGCATGGGTGGAGAAGGAGAAGAAGGCCCTTGGTTCATGGATTGAAAATACTAAAACTATGAAATAAACTAGGTTGAACAAATAAATATGGCCACACATACTGTTAAATACACTAACTTAAATAAATATAGTCATGCATTAAAAAAAAAAAAAGACGACGACCCTTGACGAGGTGGACTGACAGTTACTGCTGCAATTGGCTCTAATGTGTCAAGTAGTATAAGGATGGCACAGGATAGGACAGGGTTCAGATCTGTTTCTCATAGGGTCACTATGGATCAACAACACCTAACAACAACATATAATTAACCATACGGATTTTGGATGGCATCATGTATTAAGTGTTGGGCTACAAATGGCAAGTTCAGTGGCTCTAATCCACCAGCTGCTGTACGGGACAAAAATGGGCAAGCTCTTCCTATAAGGCTTTATGGTTTTCAAAACCTTTTAGAAGGTCATCCTAAGTAGAATCAACTCCACAACAAAGGGTTTCATAACTGTACTAACTATATCCAGGACACAGCCTCACATCCCGTGGTTCACAGGCCTTCTCTAAACACACATCCCACCACCAGTCTGCATGACAACCTCTCTCCTGGATCTCAACTCCAGCA